GTTTCATAACTTTTACACGATTTATGTTTTTCGTTTACTTACACAACTATCATGTTGTAAAGCTTTTTTATATTTTCTTCCTTCTTGCTTAAAAGGAAGTGCCGGTACCTCATTTCAATTTAATATTTTTTTTTAAAAAAAAAATGTAGTTTGACTTTATTGAAATTAGTAACTATGCCAAAAAATTCATAAATATTTCGTGCAAACTTGTTAATTATAACTCTATAAAAGTTTTAATAAATCTCATAAAGTATATAATGAAAGATTTAAAAAAGTCTTTAATAAAATTCTTCAAATACCCATAATGTCTAACAAAATAACTAAAATTACACAAAACCCATCAAAGTCTAATTTTTGTTGCCTTGGTTTGGTCTCCCTTACGTGACTTAGTTGTGACTCCGGGTTCTTTGTGCTGTCATTGTCGAGTGCTAGTTTTAGATTTCTTCACTAGTTCGCTTTCTTTGTACACTAGTTGATCTTCTATTGTGCTCTGTAGCATTGTGGGCTAGTTAGCTCCCTAACGTTGTATTTTTTTGAGTTATAATATTTGTCGTTTTGAAAAAAATAAAATAAAAGTTCTAAACAGTTTTGCATATACCAAAACATAAAAGTAGGCCATTAATTTTTTATTTTTTTTTCCAAAACTATTAAATTTATAACTAAAAAATATATTTACAATCTTGAAACAATTAGTAACAACCGACTCAAGCAGCTATACAACGGAATCCAGAGAGAGGCCTACACGACGAAGACGACAGTATGCTATAATCAATTACACTAAGACACACCCACAAGACTAAGATATTAAAATTCTAAGCTCCCACAAGTGAAGAATTTTATCTTCAATAATGGAGAATAAAACACCAAAATAAAAGCAACACTTACTGCTAGGAAACACCACACATAACCCAAACTACTAAACACCAATTTAAAAACTAGAAACTAGAATAAAACCCTCACCAACCGTCAGCTACACTCCGAAAATCACCAAATGTGTCGGCCCCCCAAGAAAGATTGATCCACGACCCCAGCCAAGATCTAGAAACTGCAAACTACTTCTAACTATATCCCGACCAAAACGAGCCAGATCCATTTTCAAAGGAAACATCCTATTAAAATTGTTTTGAACTGATCGGTAAACAAATTAGACATTGGTTAATTACTGCGTACTCTTAGCCCGCAAAAGATAAACAGGCACGTACATACAGTAATTGCTACTTTGATTCAACAAAAACTGAGATCAATTTTGTTGGGCCAATAATCTAACGTGTATTGGGTAGTGATGTTGTGTGTGTGCTGTGATGTTCGATTATTTATGGTCACTGTGTGGATAGTCTGATGATGTCCAAGAAGGATTATTGTGTTAAACTTTGCAGGTGGATTAAGTTCTGACATAATAATAAAAAAAATTAAGTGGTACTTTGCACAAGAAGGCCGAATAATTATAATATAAGTAACTAAATAATTGACGAACATTATATCTTAAACACAGAGAGATAAATTGAGTAATTATTATCAGAGTTTCAAATATAATTTGGGAGCCAAATAGGAAGATCAACAATATTTTTTTAATGGACTGATATATCGTTCAAATATGAGCATAGTGGGCTTGACCCACAGTTAGACTCATACTTGGAAAGCCCATATTTGACACCTCCTTAAGGTTCCTGTTGTAGCCTATATTTACACACCTCTTATGATTTTAATCATCCAACAGAGAACTTTGTGAGTTGCCCACCAAGACAAACAAAGTGTTTAAAGGTCATACAGATGCCCAAAGGTAAACTCGAGACTCCCACCAATCGCCCGAGCACCGAGCCCCGTCTCGCTGAGGACGCGAGCACCCGCTCGCCTCCGTGACGCACGTACACGACCACTCCCTGTTGCACGCGACGGCAGCGCCCAGCCGCGACAACTGCACGCGACGCCCGACCCCGTACGTGAGCACCGCCAACAAGCAGCTGTCGTACGAACTGCGCGCACACGCGACCTCGACGATGAGGTGATCCGATTTCAGTGGTTGATCGGACGATCCGATGATGTTCAGGTGATCTCAATCAACGAAAATAAAAAACGTCTCAGTCTGCAAAAGTTTTAAGGCGTAATTGTTCAATCCCTACTATAGTCTGCTACGCTTTAAGCTTATTTTTGTAAGCTAGATTCGTGACTTGCATAAAGAACCCCAACAAAAGGTCCCAATATCATACTAATGCCTTTGGTGATGTTCGGTAGTTTGGTTTTTCTATTTCTTGGTCACACGTGTGGTTCTCTCAGTTTATCCAACTAATGTTGGGGCTTCACTCCTAGTTTGTATTTGAACATTGTATTTTTTTTATTTTTTATTTTTTGGTTTTGATTATTTAGATCCTTCTATTGTTCTCCCAAAAAAACCAAAACTATATTGATGTTTCATCTTGATTTTGGAGCATCTCCAACGGTATCTTGTCTATTTTGGATTGCATATTAAGGAAGGATATTAAGAAATTGTATCTCCAATGGTTAATATTAAAGATGGTTTAATTTGACATGTGTAAAATTATAATTAGTTGAAAAAAGAAAAAATTGAATAAATAATATTATATATAATAGATGTTGTCTAAAAGTACTTCTACATCTAGAAAGACTTCTAGAATTTATTTAGGCCACATAGGATTTTTTGTGCCATGTGACAACAAAATGGGACAATCTAAAGACCATTGGAGATGCTCTTATGCAGTCAAATCCTTGCAGGACAATAATACAGTATTTTTTTATTTTATTTTTTCCCGAGTCCCGTGCAACCTTATTTAGACTTCAATCAATTAGGAAACTCGAATTATCATTGCTCATTAGTACAAGGGAAGTGACTCATTAATCATTGCTGGAATAAAGGGTTCTTCAAAGAACCCCAACACACCATTGGCTTCAAATCATCCAATACACAATCAAAAAGAGTAAAGACAACCAGGGTAGATAAGTATTATACCAAGTTATTGATGTCACTGACTGCTAACTACTATAAGACGTTAGGATATAAAACCACAGGCCCCCATTGGAAGCGGAAGCCGTTTATATCATTAAGAAGTTGCATCAAGAAGTTGCACCTGGATCGCTAATAACACCAAGAAAGTCATCTTTTATGGTACCAATGCAGAACTGCAAAATTAAAATAAATATTAGAGCAGTGGTTTATATAGCTTCCAGAGAACAACTCTGGTACCCAAAATTTGCAGAGCAGACCAAACTTGTAGAACCAAAATGAAAATAAACTCATTAGAGAATATCTTACTACAACAGTTTTCTTTCAAACCTTCCTGTGCTCCAGTTACTTGCTCAAATTCGGACATTACAGAGGAAATCAATTGGATATATTGATCTATAGACCTAGTGAGGAATGAGTAGAGGCTTAAATACGAAGTGTAATACAAAATGTTGATTGTTGTAATTCATGACCCAAAAATATACTTCTCTACAATCTGTCCCATTTCTAGTAAAAGAATTTCTTGAAAGGAGTAACATCCTTTAGAAAGGAAATTTAACTAAAAATTTGAGCAACCACCTTCATATCAATAAAGCTAATTCTCTACAAGGATCTGAATGCATAACATGCTAATAAACAGATATAGGTGTAGAGTAAATCTGCCAATTCTGATGCTAAAACACGCACAACATTTGGACATACCTATACAATTTTCGAGGGTACCAACAACTTAATCAAAACAAGATAGGATAAACACAATGTAAAGTATGATTATCTATCAACACATAGAGGACCTACAATTTCAGTTGCGTCCACTCGCGTTCCAATTATTTTCAGTCTAACTTCACTTTCTTTCTGAATTTTGACCTGTCAAATATTTGAAATGTTAATTATAAGAGATACAGAGCCTATAATAAAAAATAAATAAAAAGAAAATCAAATGCTGAACACAGCATGATTGAACTGGCTGAAAACATACGTCGACTGAAATGTTCTAAAAATTCGTATAT